CGAGATTAATGTAACCACTCAATTGCTCATCCAATTGTCAAGATTAATTGTGACCACCTTGTACCAAAGCTAAATGGTCTCATTAAATTTCTTTTAAACTTTGAGCTTGGTTAATGAAATAAATATAGCGACTCAATTTTACATCCATTTGTAAATATTAATTGTGACTACCTTGTACCAAAGGTGAATTGTCTCATTATATACTTTATATATTATATATATGGAAAAAGATTTCCTAAGTTACTAGCTGTAATGAATAGTTATAGACACTCTAGTTTTAAAATTGGCAAATTATGTGATATTCTTAAACCCCTAGGGCCACATTATCCCAGTAAACCCACGAACCAAAATCCATCAGAGCGCTGATCCCTATCATGTGATCTAGAACCCTGCAAGACCATTGTTTTAGTAATAATCAAGTAAACATAGCAAAACAACTTATTTTTACCTGATTTTTGGTAGGCAATATCATAAAAATGTAACTACTAATTTTGGTAAGATTTGGGCTCCCTTTGACCCCCAAAATAAAAATTTGACTGACAAATCTGCTTGAAATATATCTATTATAGTATGATTTGACCCTTTATATAAGCACATTTTGTGACCCATTGAGGGTTGGACTTGGTTAACGCATAGGCCAGGAAAACTGAGAGCCAGAGAGCAACCTTAGATCTAGCAAAGCAACGTTAATCCCTAATCGTCCCTTGAAACCAACTTTTAGCGTAAATCAGTAAAACTTTAGCTCAACTAAGCTAAAGTTTGGTCAAGTTTGAAGAGAGAACAATAGAAGACATATGTACATAGCCGTGGTTCTGATACGGGTGAGGCCTCGAAGCCTCGAGTGTCCCAGGCCAACTGGCCTGGCCAGGTATTTTCCTCATCATCATCTTTTCTTTTATTTTTCAATTATTTGATTAGATCTAGGATTTTATTCTTATTTCATTCAATATTTTATGCTTTTGGATTTCCCATCCTCTTTTCCTTTATTTTTTTAGTTATTTTGTTATATTATTTTTATTTCATTCAATCTTTCGTGTTTTTTGGATCGATACTAGCTTTGCCACTGCTATGAGAGCGGATCTATTTATGTTTTAGTAGATCTGGCCTAAGATCACAATTTGACTTTCCCACTCTCTATCACTCTTTTAAATAATCAGTCATTGATTCGGATCGAAGGAATCTTCATCTGAAAATCTCTCCGATTTGCTTCGTAAACAATAGTATAAACTTCTAGCTCCCAGCCGTCAAATCTTCATCGGTTGGTGCAAAATTCATATAAATATCTAAATTTTAATCTTTTGTTCCCCTAAAAATCAGATCATAATGAAGTTTTGGACGTGTGTACTAAACAATAGGGCGCATAATAAAAAAATAAAAAAAATCCTAATATATAAAATGAGTTAAATACCCCTACAAATGACTGTGTAATTTGGTAATTTTAAATTATTGAAAGTAATTGTTTTATAAGTTTATTTGGTACGCAATAGTATTAGGTATAGACACCCAAAATTTTATCTTAATCTGATTTATGGAAAAATGATTAAACTTAAAAGAGTGATGCGAATTTTGAACCACGTGATGAATGTTGGGAGCTAGTAGCTTATACTATTCATTATAGCTAGTAGCTTAGGAAATATTATATATATATATATATATAGACACACACACGCATATTGGGAGTGATTTCATGCAATGGTTCTATTTTAATTTAATGAACTAATCTTTAAAAAACATGTTAGGCTCATTTGTTTGATCCCAGTTTTTAAATATATACTCATTTCATACTAACGAACAATGGCATAAAAGCAAACTCTGAAAACACACTTTAGAAATTTTATTTTAACCCAATTAATATAGGCCATCTATTTTAGTTAAATACTTAGATCTAGGCATTAGATAAATTTTTTTCCTTTCCAAAATTTTTAGATAACTTTATTATCATTATATTAACAATATTAAAAAAGAAGAAATCAATTTTGAGTTTGTGAAAGCCTAGATTTTGAAATTCACCAAATAGATGATCTAGATTTATTCTTAGAGGGGACTTATTTTTATTATAACTAGAGTGCAAATTGAATTTAATTTTTTTAGGGATTGCTTATTAGGATGATGAGAGTTGTGCGAAATTTGGGGTCAAACAATTACCATAGATATGATTTTATAAAAGTATGGTTTCATTATATTACAATGACACTATGACATGAGATCATTCACCATATACAAATAAACTCTAAAATCAGAAAACTAAAATTGAAATAAAATAGAATTAGAATTCTAATTAAAAATCTCTATCTATTAAATACTTCAGAATATAAGAAATATTCTATTACGCTAAATTGTATTCCAAGAAATGTTATTGAAAATAAAATACGTTCAAATACAAAAAACAATAGACAAAAAGAAAAAAACAAAATTAATATTACATAAATTTTATAGTATTAATTACATAGTAAGAACTTAAAAAAAAAAAACAATTACTTTTAAACATGGTATTTCTAGTGCTAGATAGCTTAGTAAGTAGAGTTGTCCGATATTAGAAACACCAAATATTAAACATGCCCTAAGTAAGAGAAAGTTTATATCAGTTGAGTTTTCCTGATTTAGAAACAACGTGGCTATTTGATGTTGGTAGTACCGGACATGCCCTTACTAAATGAGATTTCCTGATTTAGAAACAACGTGGCTATTTGATGTTGGTAGTACCGGACATGCCCTTACTAAATGAGATGGTTGAAAACTTGTGGGATTTTTTACCTATCCAATATTGAAAATACCAGATAGGTGGGCAATTCTAGAAAAAATGGGCCACGGTGTGAAGCTCGTCTCCATGTAATTTTTGCAAAGATGTGACTAGGGGTGGCAATGGGCCCGACTATACCTGGGACCCGAGGGGAATACCTGACCTCGGGTCTAGGTATGGGTCCAAATTTGGACCCCTGAATACCATTCGGTTTTGGGTCTGGGTCTAGCCGGACCTGACCTGAACCCATACTTATAGGGTGTATGATGGCAATCATGTGTCTTTAAGCACTTACTAGGTGTTCATATTGTCACAGTATCGATAACATTTACAATATTAGTGGCAAAAAAAGAAGCTCATAGTCATAAGGTATATGATGGAAAAAAATAGTCAAAAATAAAAATAAAATAAGCTCTAAGGTGGCAATGGATCCGACTAGACCCGAGATCCAATGGGAAGACCTAAGACCCGATGGATCTGGGTACAAATCCAAATTTTAGACTTGAAAATTATTGAGGTCGGAGTCTAAATCCAGCCGGACCCAACTCATGCCCGAACCCCTAAATATGACCCTTTCTGTAATAAACGCATTGATAAAGTGTTTGTATGTAATTATTACTTTTTTTTTTTTTGTTTATTTTGTATTTCATATTTTTTTTTTTTTTTTTTGTTTTTTAAGTTTTTGCCCTTTTGTATTGCAATATATTGAGGACCCGGCAAAGCGACTCTTGGCAAACGCCAACCCTCGTGTCAAATGCTGGTTGGGACCTTGTTAATAATATCCCATCTGTCTGTTCAACTTTGGGCGTTGGAGATGGACACCTATGGCGGCTGGAGTGGACATCAAAAGGAGGAAGGAACCATCCACATTTATTACACCTAGATACTAAATGCAAAGTGAAAATGTACATGGAAATTGTGTAGTATGATTCTATTTATTTTTGTTACAATTATTCATCGGTCATGGTTTGGAGTATATTATAAAGTTGAAGAATTTTATTTTGAATTTTCAAATGTAGTTAGTAATATTTCATAATTACCCAATTTGGAATATGATAGGCAAAAATATTTGTGACTTTTTTGTACTAAAAGTAAATAATCACTTTATATACTTTTTCAAATATATCTCTAATTGTTTTATTGACAAAAAATCAAACCTAAACACTTATATATAGTGTGCTGAGACTTGCTGTGGCTAAGGATCTCGTCCCCTTGCATATTCCAGTTACTCGTTTGAGTCCTCCACAATGCTGAAAAGCCCTTAATAAATTGGAAGAAAAGTGACAAATTGCAAAAAAAATAAAAAACATATTAAAAACAAACAAAAAGAAAAAACACCTTAAGGAGTCCTAACAAGCTAAAAACATTATTGGAAAAAATAGATCTAGAATGTAAATATATATAGCTAGAGGCATTTTAAAAAATCCAAAAAAAATAGTATATATAAAAAGGATTTATGGCAAAAAAAAAAAATCACTAATCTTTGCCAAAACGTATATCATACATGAAATTATTACATATCAATCCCACATTTTTATATTTTTTATTTTTTAATATCTACAGTGGTACACACAATGCGGGAGAACTTGGCCTCGCCTAAATAGTCGCAGAGTCCAAGTTGATTCAGCCGATTCCCAGGACATTGCTTATATCATAAACTTGAGTTGTCAGAGAATGACAAGCAACTAAGTGCATCATGGTTGACACCAAGTGGGAAGGAAGGAGCTACTAAAAAGTGAGCATCTAAGCGCTTGGACCACCTCCCGACTTCATAGGTTTTGTTTTCGCAGTTTCAAATACCGAGTGCATGTAAGGCTATTCGAAATAGGGTGTGGTTTGTACAAATGACACAATTTTAAATAATCCAATTAAGACCGTCTAAATTTTATCAAAAGATATAGTTTTAGTGTCTGAAATTGTAATGATCACTTAAAAACCTACTTCACATCTATTATGAAATTTAAAATTTAAAAAATGGTACTCATCTACAAATACATAAAAATCTTGAGTATGGATGATTTAAATCTTTTTATATATATATATATATATATATATTATTTTTTTTTTTCACGTCTGTTACGTATCAATTAGAACCTTTTCCAACATAAAACAAAAAGTTTTTTAATAAGATGCCTTTTTCCTATGAATGTCATTATCAACAAGAAAAAGAGACCTTGTTTATGGTAAGAAATGTAATTGTCCTTTCTCCTTGATAAATATCAGACGCCAACTGCATCATCTTCGCTATTCTGCCCTCTCCCTCACTCAAAATCTCTCTCTCTCTCTCTTTGTTTTTTTGGAGTTGAGAAAATAGGCGATGGATATTTTATCATCCTCAACATCTCCTCTCTTTGTGCTCTTACAATTGGTGCTGCTGATAACATCTGATATTCTCAGCGCCGAAGGCAAAACGGCCAACGGAAAGATCCCAGCTATCTATGTGATCGGAGATTCCATTGTTGATTCAGGAAACAACAATGACCTCATCACCCTCGTCAAATGCAACTTTCCGCCCTACGGCAAAGACTTTAAAGGCCACAAACCCACCGGAAGGTTCTGCAACGGCAAGATCGGCACTGATTACATTGGTACATGAACGGATTGATGTATGCATAGTTTTTTTCTTTTTTGGTATTTCTTTGTGGAGAAGGGGCCCTCTACCCCATAATAAAAATGAGATTCCAGATGTCTTGTGGTGATCCCCACCGTTACCGCCTATTTTTTTAAGCCGATTCCATGCATACGAATAGTTATTGGTTATAAAACTTTTTAACTTCCAAGTATTTCCCGCAATATGCACTTAGAATTATAATTTGCCAAAATGTACCTAGAGGCAAGCTCCTCCCCACCGGCTTTTTTTTTTTATATGAAATTTCCATTAGACGAATCGCCAAATAGTCTTTGGTTCTATTTCCTATTTAATTTTAAGAATTCTTTTTCTATTCTATTTTTAAAAATTCTCTACTTAATTTTGACTTTTTTTAAAAAGAATGTCACCAAAATTTTTAAAAATAGATAGAAATATTATTTTTTGAATTTTTAAAATTAATTTTTAATTGTGAAAATTATTTAAAAATAATTTCTCTATTTTTTAATATATTTTAAAAAATAAAAATAAAGAATAATGCCAAAATATTCTAAAATAAAAAGATAATTTATTATTCAAAAATAAAAAATAAATTCTCGATATTATCAAAAAAATATTTTAACATCATTCTATTTTAAAAAATTTCAAAAATAGACAAAATATTTTAAAATGTAAAAAAAATATAATAGAACCTGGAATTTTAAACACGCTAGAAAATAAAAAAAAAGTTGAATTTCCCAGTTGTCTGATATTGGAAGTATCAGATAGCCCAAAAAACTGAAACAAAGAAAAACAAAAAAAAAGGGGGTCCCAGGGGTGTGGTCTCCGTGTAAGTTCAGAAAAAATATGAGTCAAACTACAATATTAGGGGCGCTGTTCCGTAAGTAAATTTCTTTTCATCGTTCATATGGTTTCTTCTGGGTATTGTTCGAACTTGGGACACAGTGTTGTAGTTCTCGAACCTTAATCGATGCCATTGTTGTTTGATTACAATTTGTTTCAGCATCTGGGTTGGGAGTAAAGGAATTGCTGCCTGCTTATCTCGATCCAAATGTGCAAATCCAGGACCTTATCACTGGAGTCAGCTTCGCATCGGGTGGTTCTGGTTTCGACGATTTCACTCCACAATTTCTGGTAAATTGCGCATTGTTTTCTCAATCAAAATTATATAAAAACTCAAATTGCTTGTACAGAGAGAGAGACTTGGATTTGTAATTACAGAGGTTTGGGTTTTTGCAGAGGGCAATTCCATTGGGGCAGCAGGTGGAGTTTTTGAAAGAGTGCTTCGGAAAGGTGGAACGGGCGGCGGGAAGAGAAAGAGCAGATTACATAAAATCAAATGGGTTCTTCTTTGTGGTCGCAGGGAGCAATGACTTGGTCAACAACTATTTTGCTCTCCCCACCAGAAGAGCTCAAATGCCACTCGATCAATACTTACATACCTTGGTGCAGAAGGCATCCAACATTGTTCAGGTAACAAACATATAAACATCTTCATTTCTGGTGCACAAGGCTTCCAATATTGTTCAGGTAACAAGCATGTAAAAATCTTCATTTCTCTAAAAAGAATACCACTGCTTTCACCGGCCCCATGGTACTGGTCCCAAGCCCAGGTAAAGGAGGAGGGTTATTTTAGGTATGACAGCCAGTATAAAACTTTGGTAAATCTGTAATGAGTTATAAACTTATCACACACGTCACATAGTTGGGATAAGGCTTAAATGATAATAATGATGATTTATTAAAAAAAAATAGAAAAACAAAGTCTTTGATAGCATATAGGTTTTGAACATAAGTACTGGGAGCAGGAGAGGGAATATCTCTGGTTTCAGGAGCGAAAGCATCGGATCGACAGCTGCCCAAATCTTTGCAGCTCGGGGAACGAGTTCCGATGAGGGTAACAATAGCGGAAAGAGATCCGTATGAACAAGGAGCGTGTTTCCAATATATCAAGATCTAGATCCTTATTTAATGGGTACACAGTCCATGTCAAATGAGATCGTATTCTCATATTCATTAGGATCACACTCCTATCGACAACAAGATCGTGCCCCTATCTAAGAATGACTGCGTTGCTGTTTGAAAAGGATCGACCTCTATTCAAGGAAGGATCGTATTCCGTACATGATTAGTCCTCGCTCCCATAGTAGAACTCCAGTTGTATAAAAATTTGGCTTAAAATATAATTATTTATTATACAAGTTAATTTTATTTAAAAAGTTTCTTTTAGGAAGTTTCGAGAACAAAGGGATGGAGTTCCAGAAATGTAGGGATCGCACTCTTAAAATTCTAAGAGCGATGATCTAATTTATTCAAGAACGAGATCTACAATTTTAAGGAACATATTTTGTGCGAAGTGGGATCGAGATCCTTTTTGCATGGGATCAGAATCATATAAATAGGAGCCAACTCCTGAAAATTTAAAACGAGTTCCAGTCGAGATCCTGGTCATAATATGCCGAAGCTGGGTTCTGGCCCGAGAGCCCCACCCTAGTTGGGTGCTCTCGGCAACTATGGTTTAGAATAGTTTGCTACCAGCTCCTTGACCCACCAATTTTTTCACCAACTTTGATGTTTTATTTAATCGTTGAAGAAACATTATGGGGATTTCATGCATGACTTTAATCTCAAGTAAAATCTCGGTCGATAAACAAACCCATTTTACCAAGTCCCGGAGTCTGACCATATTCAATATTCTATAATTTGCTACATGCCTTTCTATATTCATGGCTCAACTATAGTAGCTGAACTATTATAATTATTGTTCTCAAACACGACATCTTATTTTAATTATTTTTCTCCCTCCTATTGTTCACAAAAGAAAGGCACACGTTTTCCCTTGCATGTACAAATACTATGTTTTAAGACTAGCCTCTCTTGCATGTAAAAATTATATGTTTTAATACTGGCCTCTTGCGCTAAGGGGACACAAGTAGTTTATGTACAAGTACTTAAAATTAGCATATCACGGACCTTGGTTTAATCGTTGGAAACGTTTATATAAGGTGTAATTCGTGCTTGCTAACTCACTTGAGTGCGAATTCCTCTTCTCTTTCTCTGGTATTTTCTTGCTAGTGTTTTTGTGGCTTTCTCTTGCCTCAGGTCTAGGGCTTAGCTGGAGATCAGGACTTCTTGCCACTTTCAGATCTGACCGTCATTTTCAGATATGAGCTTTTTTCTCAGATCTGACAGTCATTTTTAGATATGAGTTTTTTTCTCAGATCTGAGCTGTGTTTGGCGTTTCCTTCTCTTCTTTCTCCCACCGCTGCCTTTCTTTTTCTTTCTAGTTTTTCATGCTTTCTTGTGTCGCCCTCTGACGGGCTCCTCTGCTTTCTTTTTTCTCTGTTCTACCGTTTCATTCGAGGTTGTTCTTTTGATTTCGGTTTTCCTCCTCTTTCCTTTGTGGGTTCAACCTTTTTTGTTGTATCTTTTAACCATTGCCATGGAAACCCTTTTTTGTTGTATCTTTTAAGCATTGCCATTGAAACCCTTTTTTGTTTTCCACTGTTTACTTTCTTTGGGTTTTCCTTTCCCTCTCCTCTCCCTTATCTGTTGTTTTTCTTCTGATAACCCGCTCTCCCCTACTTATTTGGTCTTCTTTTATCTTGTTATCTTTTAGAGAGAGAGGTCTTCCTTTAGAGAGAGAGAGAGCAGTTCCAAGGGGGGAATTTATATGGGAAAAGCTTTCAGTGTCCCCCCTACAACATAGAAGTTTTAATGTTCCCCTACCATCCATCCGTCTATTTTTTGTTAAGAGAGTTACTTACCATTTGATCTAGATCTGACATCTCAAAATATTTTAATTTTAATTTTTTTTAATACAATTATTTTGAATATGAAATTTGGTACGTGCCATCTTTTTATTGGGATGCACTTATAAAAAATATTAACAATAATTTTTCGATAAAAAATAATGACCAAAATACCCGTTGAAAATTTCGGGGGTATTTTGATCATTTTATTTGATTGAAAATATTGTTTTTATATTTTTCATTAGTACGAGTTTAATATAAGAATGAACGTCCAAAATTTGATGTTAAAACAGTTTATAGAAAAAAAAATTAAAAATAAAGTAATATAGAGACGTGACATTGTGATTGGGACAATCTTAGCCCTCCATTAAAAAATGGACGGTTGGATAAGAAGAACATCAAACTTTTATGTTATAGAGAGAACATGGAAAGCTTTCTCATTTATATAACCCCAAAATTTACACACACATTTTTTTTCATTCCAATAATCAATCTCAAAAAAATAAAATTTAATTTACCTTTTATACATAGTCAAAATAAATCCCTTCCAACATTGATTCTAAACCATCCATTTGGTAAATAACTTTTCCATTGAATCTCACGTGCCTCTCTCACTATTCTATTTTGTTTTTCACTCCTTCCCACGAAGGTTCCCTCTCTCTAGAAAACTAGTATTCCCTAAAAAACACTAAAGCCATTTCCATAAGAAGGATCGGCAATTTGAAGTGTACTTCATACTTCTGGTTCATGCAAACGAAAGTCAACCTGATGTTGCGTTTATCAAGCTCCATAACTGGTGGGATCACGCTCAGGAAGGAATGGCGGGGCTGTACCAAGCACACGACAGGTTTTGAATCCAAAAATGAAATGTGACGTGTAACTGCATTATTTTGAATTTATGCTGCTTTCGGAATTCACAAATGAATCCTACACTTCCAATAGTGTGCTCGTCTACCTACGCCCACTAAAGCTACCCTCCTCTTTAATTTGACAGCAAGGTATAATTTTTTTGCAGGGAAATGATCTCACGTCGCCATGTCACTGTAACATAAAGAAATCATATGTCTAGAAAATCATGTTTTTGGTATTTGTATGACCTCAAATTTTATACACACATTTTTTTCATCCCAATGATCAGTCTTCAAAAAAATAAAAATTCGATTTGTTGTCAAAATAAGTCTCCTCCAACAATGAATCTAGACTATCCATTTGGTGAATTTCAAGATTTTGGACTTTATAAATTCAAAATCAATTTTTTATATTTTAACATTGCTAATCTAATGAGAATCAAGGCATCAACAAATTTAGAAAGGAAAAAGATCCTTCTAAAGCTTAGATTTAAGCATTGCATTAGAATAGACGGTTTATATAAATTGGGCTGAAAAAACACTTTATAGGTAGTGTTTTCAATTTTTTTTTTTCTCTTATTGTTAATTAGAATAAAAGGTGCGTATGTTCACAAATTTAGTTCAAATAAATGACTCTAATATAGTTTTGGAGTTAAGTTGGAACGGACCAACTCAACTATTGACGTTGGATTGGGGATATTAGCATGTTCATAGTTCCTCCATGCACAATTTTAACAACTACAATGGTCCTCTCTATGTGGGAAGGAGGTTTTTGAGGCTCTTGTCAATGTTGTAAAAAGTGCATTACGGGGTATGTTCTTTTAATATATCAGAAAAAAAGAAAAGAACAAAAAAAGGATTCTTTTCTTCATACTGATATAACTTCATACTGATATAAAGGAGACGTGTAATCTTTGGTTATCTTGGGCAGAAATTGTACAAGATTGGAGGCCGAAGGATCTATGTGCTGGGCCTACCCCCGTTAGGGTGCGTGCCAATACAGAGAACACTGCGCGGAGGAGCAGCTCGAAAATGCGTGGAGGAGGTGAACCAAGCGTCTATCGCCTTCAATGCTAAGCTTTCTACCCAGCTGCACTCCCTGGCATTGACACTCCCTAACGCTACAGTCATCTACGTGGAAATCTTTGACATACTTCTTGATATGATCCAGAATCCCTCCCGTTATGGTAAGTCTACTTCCATTACGCATAACAAACCTCTTCAAAACTTTGTTTTGGTACTCGAACCCTTGTGTCCATGTCAATGTTGGAAAGATTGACCTGTATCTGAGTACTAGCCCGAGTCTGAGTAACTCAGCCCGAGTTGGAAGGTGTTCTATCCAAGTCCAAAAAGTGTTCAAAAATTAAAATAAATGTTAAAAAAAAATCTAAAAAATAGAAAAATATTTTAAAATAAGATTGAACAAAACGCATTTATATGAGGTAAAAAAAAACAATAAAAAAAAGGATTTTGAAAAAATTCAAATTGTGGCGGGTGTATTTTAGAAATAATCCAAAAAGAAGGGAAAATCTAAAAATAAGCATTCGGGGCAAAAGAACTTTCCAATCTTTTCCAAAAGGATGAAAACATATTACTAATAAATTTCTTCATTTTTAAAATTTGTTTACGGTTTGGTTTGAATGCTTTTCAAGATCCTTGAGTTGGACACCCAACTTGGGAATACTTAAATTTCTTATTTTTTTAAATTTTTTTACGATTTGGTTTGAATGCTTTTCAAGATCCCTGAGTTGGACACCGAACTTGGGAATACTCGAGCTCACTAGGGTGGGGTCTCTGGGCCGAATCATCCAAGTGTTCAAACTAGTATTTTAAAAATCGACGATCCAATCCGGAATTCGGCGATCCGGATCGGGTATCGCCCATGCCGTTCTGGTTCCAAAGAGAAAACAGGATTCAACCGGCTGTACTATTTTATTATTAAAAAACATCTAAACCATCACACGCTCACGTCACGGAATCGTGGCTCCAGCACACTTCGTTAATATTTTATTCAATTCACGTAAGCACGTGACCCTCTGCCAACTCAAACATGTGCACGCCTTTATTGTGGGACAAACTCATGGTCTAACGTTGAGCATCTGCGTAACCCGGCGTTTTCTTCACTTTCTCTCTCACCATCATCGATCTCTCTCTTTGTGCATCTAACCACCTTCCATCTGATGTGTATAAGTTAGATAGAAGAACATAATCTTTTTTTTTTTGACAAATGTTACGACTTTTTTTGACATAGAGACAACTAAAGCATTAGTCCGATCTATCACCTGCAGCCAAAGAGACCTTAATTCCCAAGGGACTCTCTCCTTCTTACACCATTTGACCACATTTAAGGAATCCCCTTCAATCAAAACATTCTGACCCAGGTTACGATCAGTGAAGATTAGAACCCCTATCAATAAAGCACTCAATTTAGCGTAGTTGGTAGTCTTCACACCTAATGGTCCAGCATAGGAAAAAATGACATTACCCAAACTATCCCGAAGCACTCCACCAATACCAATTGGTCCAGAATTACCAAGATAACTGTCATAAAAATTAAGCTTTAAACATCCAACAGGAGGCACCAACCATAACCGGCTACTAAAAGTACTACCAAGAAGAAAAAGATTGCTCACCACATCGACCTTGGAAATGCCCCATCCTTCTTTCGTCATACATAACCAAGGCCAAATAGAGAGTTTAATGATATGGATGATCATATCCACTGGTAAACAACTCTCCTCAAAGGTTTTTCTATTCCTTTCTTTCCATACCTCCCACAATATGACACCTTTCGAAATTTTTCAAATAATCTTAGCAATTTCAGGAAGATGAGGGAGATCAAACTGATGCAAAATCTCTCCCACTGATTGAGGTAACATAATATTGATACTAAGAACTCCAAAAAGCCACCACCATATACGAGTGGTGAAAGGATAATGAATAAAGAGGTGTGGTCCCGATTCCCCATCGCTCTTACAAAGAAAAACATTTGGCAAAAATTTGCCTCTTTTAATAAGATTATCAATGGTGAAAACTTTATTCAAAGATGACAACCAAATAAAGATACGAACCTTAAGAGGGATGGGCCACTTCCATACCTGTGTCACTTGAGGATATGACCATCTCCAACAATCGTGGAAGAAGAGATTATAACAAGACTTAACTGAGAACCTTCCATCACCCTCAATCTCCCAAACTACTTCATCCTCAGCATTTGACGATATATAAACAGTATTAAGTCCATCAAAAAGCACCATTGGGAAAAAACCAAACCATTTAAACGAGAATACAAAATTGGTATATTCTAAGAAATTTGAAATCCCCTCTTCTCAACTGCCTCACAAACCAACAATTTAGGATTAACAACAATATCAAATAAATCAGGGAACAATGCTTTCAATGGAAATTCTCTAATCCATTTGTGGTGCCAAAACGCCACCTGCCCACCACCCCCAATATTCCATCTAAAATAACCCGAAATCATCGGTTTGCTAGAGAAGATATCCCTCCATACAGACGATATACTATTGCCTCTCCCACCCCCATGCCAAAGATCGAATCTGTCCATCCCATATTTGGCAGAGAGAACTTTGCACCAAAGTTGATGTTTAAGATGAAAATTGTATCACCACCACTTACACAGTAAAGCTTGATTGACCAATCTGATGTTCCTAATTCCCAAACCACTCTCACGTTTAAGGGTACATACTCTATCTTACCTTAAAAGATGGAATTTCCTTTGTTCAGCACAAGAACCCCACAAGAAATTCCGCATCATACAATCAATTTTCCGTGCAATAAAGGTAGACATATTGATTAAACACATCTGGTACACCGGAAGATTGGATAAACATGATTGCAATAACGTCACCCGACAACCCAAAGAGAGGTACTTATGCTTCTAGAGGTCTAATTTCATTTAAATTCTTTCAAGCACTATGTCCCAAACTGCAATGGTAAGTCTAATATAAGAGATAGGGAGACTAAGATAGGAGATAGGGAAAGAGCCAATCTTACGTCCCAAGACCTCTGCCAAACTTTTCATCAAATTTTCATCACAATTGATACCAATCACAAAAGATTTATGGAAATTCACTTTAAAGGCAAGTGTAACTTCGCAAATCTCTAAGAATCTAGCAATATTAGAGACTTGGCATGGCTCAGCATTACAAATATCATAGTGTCATCAGCATATTGCAAATGTGAAATAATCAGATCAGAATTTGAGATTTTAAAACCTGCAAAATGACCCAATCCCTCCACTCTGTTCAATATCAGGCTAAAGCACTCTACATAAATTGTGAATAAGGAAAAGGACAAGGGATCGCCCTAGTGTAATCCTCTTGATGCACTGAAAAAACCAATATGGTTACCTTTAAAAAGGACATAAAAGTGTGCAGAAGAGAGACAACCAAACATCCATCTTCGTCATCTTTCACCAAAACCCATTGCTTTCAAGATTTCAAGAAGAATATCCCATTCAACCCGATTATAAGCCTTCTCCATATCCAACTTAAGTAGAATACTTGGCCTTTTACTTAAACTCAAGAATGAATACATTCTTGGGCAATAAGTACACCACCAATAATTTGACAGTTTTGGATGAAAGCTAACTGAGTGTTAGAGATAAGAAATGGAAGAACAATTTTCAACCTATCAGCAAGAATTTTAGCGATAATCTTATAAATATTAGTCAACAAGCTAATAGATCTAATATCAGAAAGACCAGAAATTCTCGCTTTCTTAAGGATCAAGGCCAAAAAAGTAGAATTTATCCCTTTGAAGATATGACCCCTCTTCATGAAGCTCGTCACAAACTCCAAGAGTTCATCTTTCACTACATCCCAAAATTTTTGAAAGAAAGCTAAAGGGAAACCATCTGGACCAGGGGCTTTATCTATTGGCATGGCAAACACTGCCTTATGCACTTCCTTACAAGACACCTCTCTTTCCAACAAAAATTTCATCTCCACTGACAAAACTTTAAAGGGGACTCTATTCAAAGAGGGGGTGAGCTTTACTTCAGAAGAGAAAGCTTTTTTTAAAATGATTAATAACTACTGCTTCCATCTCGTGCTCATTGTCAAGATCAATCTCAGAGATCGACAAACCAGAGAGATCATTTTGACGCCTTCTCGTACTGGCAGTGGCATGAAAGAACTTTCTATTAAAATCCCCTTCTTTTAACCATTTAATTCTAGAACGCTGCTTCAAATAAACCTCCTTTGACCTACGTAAATCCTCCAATTCCTTCACTTTAACACATCTATCCAAAACTCGTTGCTCCGAGAGTATCCATGACATTTGGGTATTATGATCTAAAAATTCAATATCAGATAACACCCCATGAATCTTAGCCCTAATATCAAACTTATTCACTTTCTTCCAATCAATTAATTGCTGCTTAATGCTCAACAGCTTTTTATGTAACTGGAAATCTACGGTGCCCACAACCACTGTGTTGACCCAAATCCTTTTGATCAGCTCAAACACCTCCCTTTCTTCCAACCAAGCTAAATCAAACCTAAAAAGTTTCAGTCCTCCTCGAATCACCCCAGTATTCAAAAGGATTGGGCAGTGATCTGAGGATAGTCTAGGTAGAGCCTTAACTATAGATAAGGGAAACAGCTTTAACCACTTCGTCGATAACAGAAATCTGTCTAATTTGGACATAGCCAGAGAAGAAACACTATTATTAGACTAAGTAAACTTAGTGCCAGTAATAGGGGGCTCAAAAACGAATTAGATTCAATAAAATCATTGAACAATCTCATAGAGGAAGTAATATGAGAACCATCGGGACACTCGTCATGCCACCGAATAAGATTAAAGTCACCACCAACCACTACACGATAAGCAAAAGAATGGACAACAACATTCAAATCCAAAATAAAAGCTTCTTTTAAAGAAAGAACAGAAGGCCCATAAACGTTCATAAAACCCCACTTAAAGCCCGAATTAGGCCCAGAAAAACCAACCAGCAAAAAGTTATTCCTTCTAACATAGTCAAAAGTTTGGAGTTCCATAGGATCCTAGAGGACCCACAGCCCACCTGACATCCCACACGCGTCCACACCAAAAATATCAATAGACCCATTGCCTTGCCCCAAACCTCCCGAACCCTTGAGACAGTAAGGGGTAGGGAGTTTTTTTTCTTGCAAAACTAGGAGCACAGGTCTAAATTTCAAAACAAAAAATAGCACATCCCGTCTTCTGTTGGGGTTACGCAAACCCCTAACATTCCATGAAATCACATTCATTGAAAGGGAAAAGGAGGAGGGTGTGAAGAAGAACCTGGTCCTTCTGGACCACTGCTAGGAAAGCGATCTTCCAATCGCAGCACAGTAGAACCTTCATCATCACTGGAAGACGACTCTACCTCTACCAGAGCAGGGTCACAAAACCTGATTCCAGCAGCTGCAAGAGCTCCTTTGCTAATACCTCAAGCTTGAAGTCGAGCAGAAGAGCGAGTGCCCAACTCCACCTTCTTCTTCCTTTTCTCACTAGAGCGAGTGCCCAATTCTATCTTCTTAATTTTCTTTACACAAGTTTGGGACTTTGCTGGGGACAGAGGGTCAGAAGCAGCCACAATACCCTGGGCCTTATCGTTTGCCACGACAACTCCCTCTTTACGCCTAGCCTGAATTTCCTTCATCACCACACTTAGGGGCACATCATCCATACCCATGTCCTCAATCATCTTCCCTACCAAGACCATGTCATCAAGCACCATAGCTGGCTTAGGAAGCATCACAGAAGCAGGTCTTGTAAGTAACAGTGGAAACTGTACCTCTTGAGCGAATGCGACTAAAGGGACAGCCTCCGAAGCCTTTGAGAGGACCAGTTCACCCCCATCCGAATTATCCACAACAACAAGCTCCTCAATCACTGCAATCTCCTCATTCACAACAACAATCTCCTCATTTGCAGCAAACTCTCCATTCACAACAACAATCCCCTCATTTGCAGCAAACTCCCCATTCACAACAACATTCTTCTCAGCCTGAGGCACACGGTCCACCGGGACATCATCATCATCTATCACCATCAAAGCAAGACGATTGATCAAGAGAGGATTAAATAGAGATCTAGATCTCTTCCTCAACTCACTAATTGCACCATGGTGAAATGAAGGAAGTGTAAATTTATTTTTGAAAGAAGAGGCAAGATCACTAGCACCAAACGCAGTTGCAGGCTCCATGCCAAGAACTTCTTCTGTGCAAGAAAACAGAGAACAAAAGCTATAGTAGTAACTGCCAGCAATTTCCTTTTAAGGTCGTCCACTTTCCAAGGGAAGAGTTTTGGCAAAACCTCATAATGAGCTATCCAGCCATCCCTATCAGGAAATCTTACGTGGAAACTTTCCCCTTTGAAACAGTCGGTCGCCGCCAAGCCTTTTGAAACAACGTGATTGATAGGAAATGTCAACGGTGCAACTGCCGGACCATAAAACATGACATCAACCCCACTGTTATCTTTAAGGCTATTTGGAATAACTTCGCCGGGAATAATGGACGCATTCGCATGTCGAATGAATCACACTGACGAGAAACAGACGTTTCAAATAACCTTCTGATGAATATGGAAACCTGCTAACCGGTATCCACCGTTTCCTACCTTTGAGCCTTACACCTTTTTTAAATTTCAAATTCCTACTCTGGCGTTGATACCGTCCCCACTTGTTCCTACCGGAAAAGAAATTTCCGGTCAGATTAACTCTATCTTTCACATCCATGACGAGCTACCCAACAAGCTTTGGTGAATGAGCCTCTCTATCTTTAGATAATTGAATCTCGAAGAACTCCTCATGTATGCACAACAAAACGATCTCTGGAAGAGACACCCCAACACAAAGGTCGATCTTAACTTGAACAAACCGACAAAAAGAATTTAGGAGGAAATCCCAATCCAAATCAACGAAAACCCCAATCTATCCTATCAGTTTTTTTATAATAGCGAGATTCCAAGCTGACAGGGGTAGGCCCCATAGATAGACCCACTTAGAAACCTTATGTCGAAAAGAAACATGGTCAGAAGCCTTCCAATGGTCGAAGGAAAGAAGACTATCTCGGATTCTGCAAAACCTATGGGAAAGAGCTGAAGCAATCTCCTTCTCAGATCGAAGCTTAAACACCACTTTGTTAGGACCAATGATCTTCACATTCGGCCTATAGGACAAATTCCATCCACATTGGGCCCAATCAAAAAGCCCAAAGAAATCCTTAATCGGAGGAGAGAAAGAACCAGTGACAAAGAACGCTGTTTTAATCTCCAATTGTTCCCAAGCCCTCCTATCAACGGCAGTCAAATTGCGATTGCCAGGAGGGCCATCACAAAGACCTACTGCAGCACCGACCTTCTTCCCCTCCGAAGCCCTTCTCTCCATCTTTTTTCACTCCATCTTGTTAACCATTGAAGCCTAGCCCTGTTCTCCTGCGCTCTTTCGCCCCATTCACAAACGCTATTACCAGCCCTATCACGCACTCGATCTCTCACGAATCGAGTATTAGGGCTACTTTTGCAAGAAAAAGTATTAGGGCTACTTTTGTAGGCAATAATTTGAGAGAGATGGTCATGAATGTTGAGCGTGCTGGGGCAAATTCAATGGCTCATTACGGGCATCTCTCTCAGTGTTCTTTGAGTATTCCGACCTAGAGTTTGACGTCATCACAATCGAAAAACCATTTTCCAGCTTCTGAAATCTCCAAAACCTTTTAGCACTTGGATACCCTAATCTTGCCCGAGACTTGTGATTGTATTTTGGTCATTGTAATCTAGATAGAGGAACATAATCACCGCTATGTCTCGGTTCAAGCCGACCCAATTGGGCTCGAGCCAATTCACCAAGCTCTACATGTCCATTAATGGCACATGCACTAACAAAATCTTCCAAATAACTGCATTAGGCTTAATAGGCATCTCTCTCATGAATTCATGGGCTTCTCTCACTAAACTAGCCCTCCTCAAAAGATCAACCATGCAGCCAAATTATTTATGGTGGCGATAAATTGTTCCAAATTATTTATGGTGTTTGTATTAGATAGGGATCGGTGGGTACTATAAATATATCTTTCTCTCATATACAAGAACATCTATAAAATAAAATGGTCTATAATTCTTTTTAAAATTAATTTTATTTATTTATTTTTAATATTTAATCCTTATTATGATTAATTAAATTTATTTATTTTTATAATATACAAGCATAAAGTGCATATAAATAATTTTGAATTACATAAAATTACAAAAATAGAATTCCATATAAAATTTGCAAAAAGTTAACGTAATTATATGAAATTATTGTACTAGGTCATAGGATATTAAAAAAAGTAAAAGATAATACTAATACTGGTTTTTTGAACATTTTAAAAAATATTAGTTCATGCGATATTTTAAGATAGAAAAATAACACCAGTTCATACCACTTTAGAATTTATTTCAAGTTGCTTTATCAATTATCTCACATTGCAAATATGAAAATTTTTATTTTTTTCCCCTAATTCCATTAAAATATGATTGCAAATTTATGTAACTAAATTCTATATTTCTATCAACACTAATTATTATACATTAGATTTATTTATTTGTGAGGGTCATACCCTTGTTTTTAATCATGTTTATTAGAATTAACAATTATACCAATTACAATGGTAATCAAATCTTATATATTAATTTCTTTACATTTATAAATTATGCAATGTATTATTTTTTGTTATAGTTATAAATTAGATTTTTAAATTAGATGGTATTATAAGATAAATTTCAAATTTATTTTTATTTGTAAAGTAAAATGATGATAAAATAATAAAATACAAACCAATAATTCTAATTTCAATGTAAAACATTGTGTTTAGTTAGGTTTTAATAAATATATGATGAGAATCTTCATACAGGGAAAGAACATCTCAATATTTGCATGTTGATGCGAAAAAATGAAAGTTGTTAATGGAGTACCTCCGTTTCTTATTGGATTACTAAAGAATAACATTTATAATGAATTTTAATAAAAAAATTTTAAGGCTTAATCCGACTGATTCGGCCGATTCCCGATCCAGATCGCCGATTTGGATGGATTTTTGGGGTGCCCGATTTGATGCACCGATCTTTTTTTTAAACCACTGGTTCAAACAATGGTGCATGGTTCATACATCTACAACACTAGTCCAGGCATTTAGCCTATGCCTTGATTGGTGTGATGGGATTATCAAACTATAAATAAATTTTCAAAACCATAATTTGGATTTGCTATGGGTCACTTATAGAATAATATGTGCTAAAGTTGAAAAATAAAAATATGTTGTTTCATGTTCCTTTATAATAATGGAAAATTATAAAATTTAGGATGTCAAATGGGTTTGGTGTAGCACCTGCTTGTGCTAATATAGATATATAGATATGAATATATGGAAATAATATAGATATATAGATATGAATATATGGAAATATATTTTGTCAGCCTGATTGTTGATGCAATAATATATGCCCAATGATTTAGATTGAATCAAACTGATTGGATGACTACAATTGCATTATGTATTTGAATTTTAGTTCTAGCATACGTCAACTCTTGAAAAATATATGCACTTAATAAAAATATTAAAAAATAATTCACAAAAATAAATTGACCAAAATAGCTTAAAATTTTGAAAGGTATTTTAATCAATTTAGTTTTTACAACTTTTTGAATATTTTTATTAGGTGTGTGCCCTAAAGAGAGTAGTTGACGACTCCAAATTTCAACTTATTTAGATTTATATAAATATTATTAAAAGCCAAGTATAAAATACAATCGCGAGATCAACGGAGATATAGTATGGGCCATTGGGCATAAGCTATTGTTATGATCCAAGTCATTGGATCATAGCAAGGACAAGTCACAGGTTTCACGTATTGATGTCATTGGCACGTGCTTTATGGGCTTTCTAGGTTTTGAGGAATCTAGGTACGGTTGTTGCGGCACTGGAGGGCTAGAGACAGCGGTGTTATGCAACAGCGTAACGAGCAGCACATGTAGAGATGCATCCAAGTACGTGTTTTGGGACTCCTTTCACCCCACAGAGAGGGCAAGCAGCATTCTTGCATCTCAGCTCCTCCATAAATATTTTCCTTAATTTCCTTAGTGGTGTAATCTGAATTAGTAGTCTATGTATCTGATATTGTTGTTGGGTGTGCGGTGATTAGCTTTTCTGGATTTATCAACTCTCATTTGCCTTTTTAAACATGACATATTTGTGTATTATTTAAAGAAGAATGGATGTGGCTTTTAGTACCATTGAGTATTTTTTACTAAGATTTCGAGAAGAAAGGGAAAAATGTAAAGATACAAACACGTATCATATCTTTAGTGTGTCAACATGCCCAAAAAATCATAAACGTTGGACAGTATTACATTAAGTATGCTTATAGAGATAGTGATTTTTATCTTGTATGTTTCATAATGTATCATTTATTATGGGGTATAACGTGGTCTGACAATTTAAACGTTTTACGTACGAGCAATGACCTAATGCAACGGTTTTATCATAGTATAACGTAACGACACTTCTAGAAAACCATGTTTGTGGTATTTTTATGATCCCAAATTTTGCACACACTCTCTTTAGCTCAATAATCAATCCAAAAAAAAATTTCAATTTGAATCCTAGATATGATCAAAATGAGTCCCTTCCAAAAATGAATCTAGACCAATCATTTTGTGAATTTCAAGATCTTAGCCTTTATAAACTCAAAATCATTTTTTTTCTTTTTTAACATTGTTCATCTAATGATAATAAAGCCATCCCAAAAAATTGGAAATGAAAAAATCCTTCTAAGATTTAGATCTAAGCATCTCCCCAGAATGAACAGCCTATGTTACTTGGGCTATAAAAATAGTTTCTAAGTTGTGTTTTCAAATTTTCAGTTTTTGTGACTGTTCATGAGAATGAAAAGAGTGTATATTTCAAAATTTGGATCAATCAAATGGCCATATATCATTGCATGAAATCATTGCCCCATACAAGTCTATTATGCATCCATTCACATACACATGTGCAACAAAATTACGGCAAAAAAAAAATTGTTATGCCACATAGAATGACGTAAAACAAGGCAAAACTATGGCCCAAACAACACCTTGAAATTGCCCCTACTCAATTTTCATTCAAACAAAAGATTGAGATTGGTAAATACAACACTATGTTGGCCCAAATGCAGCATGTCTTTTTGCTTTTCAAAAGTAAATAGAGAGCTATAGAAGTATGCAAATTGGGTTTTGAACTCAACTAGAAAAATCAACAAACATATGGCATGTAACCCTTTCTTGCCCTATTAAAAAGGATCACAAATAGCTTATTGTACATTGAGTCCAAAAGATGCACAAAGATCACCAACTTTGTCATGGACAAAAGAATTAGAACCCAAAATCAATTGCAACTATTATAAACCTCATCCAAACAACCCCAACCTAATTTCTAGCAAGTATATACTTGTCAAAACCCAACTTAAATCATTTCAGCGAATAAAAAAAGATGCTTTATAATTTTCTCTTTGTCCATACAAACTTTTCCCAAACTTCACATTAATATTTCAAATACAAAATATGAACAATTACAAAGAACAAACTCACTAAATTCATATAGATCTGCCAGTTATGCAGCGTTCCTAGAGAGGGAACTATCTGAGAATGAGTTTTTCATGAACATATTGCATAAGAGGGAAGACAAGCTTGCCATAAAACAATAATTAGGAGATAATCTTGATAGAGAAATGTTGTGACAGGCATGACAATGTTGTCATTTTATTTTGTGATACTGGAGAGCTCTCACAGAGATGAGAAACATGCCGTTGTACCCAGTACACAAGAAAGCTTAAGAGAGAGATGTTTTAGGGAGAGATAAGGAGAATGAGCTAGTGCAAGGTGCCTAAACCTCTCCAAAACCTTTCCTATTTCTAGTCACTTAAATAAAATTGAGAGAGACACTTGTTAAGAAGGGATATAAATACTTTATATTCATATCATAGAAATAGTCTCCATCACAGAAAATAGCTTTTGAGCACCTTTTAATAAAAACACTATATCATTCAAACCACAAGGGTTTTCTCCATGAAATTATTATTATTTGAAATTAGATTCAATTGGGTGAATTACAATAAAATATTCCTCAAAAAGAAAAATATTTACTTGGTGGAAACATTCATGAAGCATATTATACAGTACATGGATTTTGATGGATCAAAACTGACATCTATCAATGATGAGTCCATAACTCTCAATCCCTAAATTATAAATTTTGCAAGGAGATACTACTCTCAAAATCACAAAATGTCTTTAGGGTATGCCCACAAAAAGTACCTCATCTTCTGGGTTATAACAATGTGCCAAAATAGCCTAAAAATTCTAATATGTAGAGTACCTCTCCGTGTTGAAAACATACCAATAGTCCTTTCAACTGTGTATCACTTAATAACAAAGTCATTTTTTCTCAAATTTTTGATTCCAAACTCACAAAAGAATAGCAAAAGCAAAATAAATATGTCCAACAAGAGATCTTGTTATAATAACAACGAAAGAAGGCCTATGTGATCTACAATAGTATGTATAGTTTACAATGTTTCATCCTTTCTTCTGCAATACTGGCTAGATCACGTACATATTTAAAAAAAAAAAAATTTACAGAAATAAAATCTTATACAACTTATGAACTTCTTTCGCATATCATTGTAATTTTATATAATCAAACAAAAATACAATGGACCAAGAATCAAGAAACATACTAAAGGCATATATCTTCAATGTAGCCGTGTCACAATATGCCATATTCAGTTGCAAAACAACCTGGGTTCCAAGTTAACATTTAAAAGAAAAAGATAAAAAGAAAAGAAATCATTAGTTCTTAGACTTCCACCAAAATTTAGGTGGAAGCTCATGAATTATGATGCTAATGTTACAAAAAAAGAACACCTGTAAAGATGAGGGTATGCATAGGCAATATGTTGGGGCAGAGAAATTGATTGTAGGGTGACAAAATCCAATCTAATTTAAAAATATATTTTAGAATTTTTTGTAATGATTTTTAGCCAAGAGAATCTGGGTTTTGAAAACATTGATCCATATAAGGTTTTAGACGCAAACAAGTCCAGAGAGAGAAGCGCATTGACCTAAATTAGATTATCACCCTTAGCAAAAGGTGAAATAATAAAAAAGATAAAGAGACACCGAATAAGAGGGAAACATATCAAGAAAGAAATAAAAATACATCATCCCTGAGAAAGAGATGCTGGGTTTGGTGATAGCTAAATCATCATACCCATATCTTCTTCTAAAAATTTGGGTATTATGGGAAATCAAAAATTGACTTTATTGGGAAGCAAGCTTTATATAAGAGAGTGAAGGACGATATAATACCCATCCTTTTGAGGGTCACCCCTTTGGGGGTTATGGGAAGAGATCTCCAATATGAAAATGGGTCTCCAAGAGAGAGAGACATGGCTTCTGAGAGAGAGGCGATATTCCCTTGAGTTTTGAATTGGTTAGCTTTCACTTATAAAGAGAGAAAGTCTCTTGGTTGCTCTCAATGTTATCTTTTTAGTAGCGGTATTGCGGTGAGAAAGACGATGTTGATCGGTCGGGACAACGGGTTTAGAAGGAAAGATCGATGATGGTCTTTTACTGATGTTTAGAGATAGGTATTATCTCTTGTAATCGAAAACAAAAATCTTTATTGTGATAGTGGATTTTTAGTTGCCGAGGTCGTGGATGTAGCCCTACGGAGTGAACCATATAAATCGTGTGTTGTTGTGGTGTGCTTTTTATGTTTTCTTTATTTCTTGCAATCGATTTATAGTTGTATTCTTCTATTGCGCATTTAGTCAATAATGTACACGCTATTGGGTGGGATTCCCGTTTGTGCAAGCTAGGGGTTCACGAGAACCCTATAATTGGTATCAGAGCACAAGGTCGGTACGAGACTAAGGTTTATATTTTGAAAAAGAAGAATGATGAAGTTTTATGGATATATGGTTTGAGGTAGAGAAATATAAAGGCACAGTGTTTGTGAAAATTCTACAATGGAGGTAACTGAGAAAAAATTAAGAAATATCCATGCTTTGAGGTGGAGAAATATGAAGGTAAAGTGTTTTGTGAAAATTCCAAAATGGAGGTAAGTATGAAGAAATCAAGAAATCTATTCAGTGAAGGTTGTCAAGACAATTATGATGATTTTGCTATCAAGGTGGAGATTGTTGGGTTTGGTGATACCTAAATCGTCATACCCATATTTTCTTTTAAAGATTAAGGTATTATAGAAAATAGAAAATTGACTTTTTTTGGAAGCAAAAAAGTGATATCTTTATAAGAGAGTGAAGGAGGACATAATACCCATTCTTTTGAGGGTCACCCCTTTGGGGGTTAGGGAAATGGATCTCCAATTTAGAGATGGGTCTCCAAGAGAGAGAGACATAGCCTTTGAGAGAGAGGCGGTACTTCTATGAATTTTGAATTGGTTAACTTTCACTTCTAGAGAGAGAAAGTTTCTCAATTGCTCTTAAGGTTATCTTTCCAATAACGGTATTGCAGTGGGAAAGATGATGTTGATCGACGGTGTTGCTCAGTTGGGAGAGCGAGTTTAGAAGAAAAGATCGGCGATGGTCTTTGACCAATGTTTAAAGATAGGTATTATCTCTTGTAACCCATAACTATCATCTTCATTGTGATAATGGATTTCTAGTTACCGAGACGGTGGATGTAGCCCTACGGGGTGAACCACATAAATCGTGTGTTATTGTAATCTTCATTGTGATAGTGGTTTTTTAGATGTCGATGCCATAGATGTATCCCTAAGGGATGAACCGCATAAATCATGTGTTGTTGTGGTGTGTTTTTATGTTTGCTTTATTCCTTGCACTCGATTTATAATTGTATTCATCTACTTTACATTTAGTTAATTATGTAGACGATCTTGGGTGGGATCCCCGTCTTTGGGATTCCCACTTCTGCAAGCTTGGAGTTCATGAGAACCCTAAAGAGAGAGAGAAGCACATCACAATGCACATTTATTTATAGGGAGTTGTCACCCCTCATTAGCAAAACAGTAAAATGATAAAAAAAGCAGCAACAATACAATTTTAAGAGAGAGAGAACATTTTAGATAGGCATTGGTCAGGATTGGGGCATTCTCCTTTTGCATTTCTACCGAGAGTCTAGATGCATCTTATGTCGGAATCATTCGAGTCGTAGTTGCTGGGAGAACCTGGAAAACGAGGTAGGTAAAGCTGGCACCCACCACATTCC